TGATCACACTTAATTAACTTAACTAGATTGAGACGAATAGAATTGACTTAAAATTAGAATTGGAATTGGAATTAGATTTGGATTGACACTCGCACGATGTGTACTATTCGACGGCGCGTACAAGAGTGCACGAGCATGGCCGCGCGTTGTAACGCGCGCCTGCGGCGGCGCTGTTGCGCAACGTGGCGGTAGCGTGGGTACGCCAACGCATGTGGCGCAAGATGGCGGATGGCGTGGGTACGCCAACGCACGTGGCGCTCGCGGCGGTCATAGCCTATAAACTAGACTAGACGCACATATTTATAATGGTCGTTGGTCGGCCAATCAGCGCGCGGCTGACTGGAGATGATGCGCAACAGCAACGCGAGCCTTATTGTAGTATTAATAATTTTACAACTAATTAGATGCATTGTTAGCATGACTTATTTATTATTATTATTTAATTTTATTACTTATATTTATTACAGTGTAAATTCACTGGCGGTAAGGCGTAACGCGTGATATGTCAACGGCAGGAGAGCCGGTTGTTGCCAACTTTGGCTTGAATAGTGGCGCTTCTGCGCAGGTGGGAAAAGGGGAAGGAAAAGAAATTTTTACGTTGGCTCTCCTGACGTCACACTTGTCATCGTCGAGCGTCTTCTTCCTCCTCCTCGCGTCGTCGCTCTCGACGCGTCTCGAAATCCTGCGAGTATTCGATATTGTACATCTTTACAATCGGAGAGATCGCGCGATACTGTTCGTAAACGTTTCGTATCCTTCGCTCTATAGACTATACGACAACTTCCGTGCCTCTTCCTCCTCTCTCTCCTCTTCTAAATCGTCCTCGCTCGAAAATACGTTCCTCATCTGAGCGAGTCTTTTCAAAAGAGCGCGCAATTGTTCTAACAGTCCGTTCCTTGGACACACGATATCAAAAATCTCCGGATCGAATTTACCAGCCATAGTTACACTTCTGGTAAATTCGTTGTACTTGAAGAACTGTCATTTAACGAGACAGTACAGATTACCGTCGATGTATCGAACGGACGTTACAGCGGGTGGACTCCCCGGAAATATCGCGTGCAATGAGTTATGTCTGACGGCTATCATCGAGCAGTCGTCGATCTTGGCCACGATCTCGTCATTGTAAATCGCGTTGTAAACGTTCGTCCCGCGTTAGTATTAACTACAGCGTTGATTTTTGCGTTAGGAGAAAGATTCATATCCTTCAGTTTCCTCGGCCAACCCGGTACTAACTCGAAACTCGGAAATTCTACTATGTAAACCGTATCGTCTACGAACAATACGAGTTGACCCGAGGATCGTCGATACGCGCCCGCTAAACGTAAAATTATTGTAAAATTATTGTAAAATTATTAGGAAGGAAACGCAGATAGTCCGTCAGTAACAACGACCTGCCTAAGATTTTCCGTTTAAGTCGACCGACCATAAGTGACGTCGATACGCTACGTACATTCTATTTTCTAACACCAACACCGTATCGACGCGTCGCGACGCGCACAGATTCGCGGAATCCCCCATGTCGCGCGTCGCGATTGTGGTCGTCGCTGGTCTCAAGACTTCGCTCTTATTTCTTAAACTGTATAAATTCTGAATGGCGAGAAAATCCGCCTCGCTCAATCGCACGGGAAAGGTCTTAGAAGGGATACATTATCGCATTTTTCTGAGGACTGTGATGTAATCCTAACGCGTGGCCGATCTCGTGCGTCAACGTATGTAGCAGATGAATCGTATCGTCAGGCTTAGCGGTCAGCTCGATGTGCACCTCCGACACTTCGGACGGACATATTCGGCTACCTTGATGTCGAGGATCTACGAACGTGTGAAAACCCTTCCGAAACGATAGCACGATATCGGGATTCATCGAATCGTGCTCGAACGTCAGTGACGAATTCACCGCCCACATCTCGAACGCGACCTCGGTGACTCGTAAAACGCTCTCGCTCGCCAAGTGAAAATTCCAAGCGAGATGCGTCTTCGCTCAATTCTTCAGAGACTTATTCAAGTCACTCGATATATCTTTGACGCCGCATCGCGCATCTGTTCCAATATAGCTTTGTTAAGAACGCCATCACCAGGTATACGGTAATACTCCTGAAAAACCGCAATCGCGTGTTTCAAAGCCAACGTCGCGTTATCTGATATCGTTTGCACGTTATCGCCGTCCAGGTATTCGTAGGTTTGTAAAAACCGAATCACTTCCTCGTCGCTATCGGCGGAGTCGCGAATCGCCGCGATAACGGCTATCGCGCATGCGATCATGACGATCCCGCGCGCGGGCGTCATCGCGCGAGACGGGAGTCGAATCGACTGCGCATCGCTGACCGAAATACGCGCGAACACTCGATCGATGTTACCATCGGTCGCGAGAGGGCGGGGACCAACGCAATGAATCGATCTGAGTCGCGATTCGGAAATTTCAACCGCTTAATTTCTATTCTCTATTGTGCGATAGCGAGATTATTCTCGTCGAACGAGCCCAAATATAAGCTCTCTCGTAGCGCGATTACACGCCAACGAATGACGATCTCGCTAAAGATCTCATACGCAATACCATTAAAAAACATAATAGAGAACAAAAAGTAAAAACATAACAACGATAAAATAGCGATAGAATAGAAACAAGTAAAGAACGATGAAATAAACGATAGACAAATCTTTTATCGCCGTTGCAGACTTCCTGTAGTCAGACTTCCTGTAGTCACGCGTAACGAGCGCGAAAATGACGCATCGCACAATTATCTAGATATCCTTTTTTTCTCATCACTTTTTACTTCTCTTTTTACATTCCAATAAAATATTCTCTCGTTATTATTAACACTCCTACGACGATTCCTCCTCGCGTGACTCCCACCTCTCGCCTCTCTCATACGTTCCCGATAACCGTCACCCGCGGTAACGCAAATTGAAGACTTCCGACGCGTCGCCGATCCACCTCTCGTTTCCGCGATGTGCAAACGAACGAGGAAAAAAAATTCCATCTCTCGCGGTTAGTCTTAATCTCATACATATTCATATATACAATCCATAGTTATATTACGATTATAGTACATAATTATATGCACGCATACTTAGTTGTGCTAATTGATGCCAACGCGCTCTCTTCTTTTTCTCTCCTCCTCGTACGCGGCTGACGAAATGGTACCGCTTTTCCTCCAATACTTGCGATGAGCGCAAAAAGACATTTCGTCGTCATCGTTATCGTTAAATACGTCGTAATAGCTGCTTTCATAAAAGTTCATCATGTACTCCTGTCGTCTGCTAATCTCGATCGGTTTCTTCTTTTCGTAGAGTACCTCCAGTAAAAGATTATTATATGCCATCCCTCGATAGTGATGACATATACACGCCTCTATTACCTTTTTGGTGAAATCTCACGCTGAGGCAGAAATTGACAACTGCGTCTCTTTAACTTATTAAAAATCGGAGTGTATTGTCTTCTCACGACGTACTCAGTCACATTGACCGATGGATACGCCGTTACGTTTCGCAATGGAGAAGATGTTAGATCATCCAGCGAATAGCACCAACACATCTTATTGTCATCGATCATTCATGTCTCGTACAGCTGGTATCGATTCGCTACTTTGACGGTTCTCGCCATCGTAAACACGACGACAAGTATCACTCAAAAGAATCACTTCGACGACGCGTCAAACCGCAACGTTCTACAAAACAGGACGAGCGGCACGCATTATATCCTCATAGACTACGCCTAGACACAGAACATCGCCTAAAGCGACGTAACAAAAACAGGACGCGTTAGACCGCGCGGAAAACGCTAGGGCGGCGTCGAAGACGGGGAGGATTGGACACACACGTCGCATCCCCGTAGACAACGCCTAGGGGAAATCGACCCGAGGAAACCCCGCGACTGCCTTACCGACTGAGGAGGATAAACCTACCCTGACGACCGCCAGAGGGATCCACCTTTTCCCTCCCGGTTACGAACCCTCTGAGGAAAGAAAACCATCCTTACCGACCTAAGAGGATACTCCTCCGGATACAAACCCTCTCCTCCCTCACCCCCCCTTTCCGTGGGGGTTAGGACCCCCCTTGCTTATTTACTCTTGGATGTCGCGAGGAAATGTGCGAGATTGCATGTATCGACACCAAAAACGTTTGGCGTTAGTCACTTCGGATTGATCTAATACTGTTGGAGTCGGAGTGATAGTAGATCCGGAGAAGAGACGGAATGCTTAATCCTTATCTTAAGCATGTTGACAAAACGAAAAATATACTATGTGACGCGAATTAATTTTGGCCACGATGAGAATCGTTGAGCGAGATCCCATCTTGAGTGTCAATTCCAAGACTGATAACATGACTTGGCTTCGAGTGAAGAGTTCAAAAGAAGAGTAACATCAGTTTGAGGCCATTGAGCACTTGGTAATTTAAGCCATTCTGTACCCTTCCACCAGTCGGGCTTATTGAGCAGACTTTGTACGGGAATTCCTCGCGACGCGCAGTCAACTGGATTCTCTTGAGTTGGCACGTAATGCCATTGAGAGTTCGGAATCTTAGATTGTATTTCGTCGACTTGATTCGCTACGAATGTTTTCCATTTGGATAGATCTTATCCAAGCTAGAGCGACAGTGGAATCTGTCCAACAATGACATGGAATGTCGATTAAGTCAAGAGATTCTCAAACATAAAAAATCATACAAGCCAAGAGAACGGCAGCCATTAATTCCAACCGAGGGATACTCAGATTTTTCAAGGGAGCGACTCGAAATTTCGCCATTAATAAAGAAACTTGGTGATCACCTAGAGACGAGTCAACCTTGAAATAGATCACGGCTGCACAAGCAGATGTGGAGGCGTCCGAAAAACCGTTCACAGTGTTGTGTGTCATGACCTGTTCCGGTCCAGCGAGGAATTTCGAGCGAATTGAGAAGTTCGAGAGAACAATAATATGCAGTCTAGTCATGAAGGATATTAGGAGAAATTGCACCATCCCAAAGAACCTTTGCATGTCATAAGCGCTGCATTAGAATCTTTGCCATGATTATGATGGGAGTAAGCCATTGGATCAAATAATTTCGAGATAGCTGAAAGAATTGTGCGTTTGGTTGATGGCAGCGAGTTAGACAAGATTACATTGAATTGAAAGACATCATGCGGTGGATGCCACTTGAGTTCTAAGACTTGGAACTGATCGTCGGACTCCAAAGATTTACTTTGAGATAGGCCATGGTCATGCGGATCGATATCTTGGAGAAGATCGAGACATTTGATGGATGCTTACACGCGGTACTTGAATGAAGAGATCGAAATGATTCGTCGCCAGTCATGTATAAGATCCAAGTTATATGGTGTCTGAGTCGAAAATTGCTCTGAGTCCGACAACCGATACATGAAAAATGATACATCGTACCGGATTCGATGGAAACGTTACCGTGGAGACATTGGCGAATACCTTTGTAATATACATGTATATATTTTTTTATATATAATTTTATATATATGTACGTATGCACGTATTTCTTGTAGTTTATACGTATATATAAATACATATGTACGTATGCACGTATATACGTATGTACATACATACGTATATATGTATATATGCATATACGAGAGTAGTCTGAAAAGTTTTAAGCCTTAACATGAAGATAATGTTACTCGTCAAAATCATTCTAGTACAATAGTATATGCTTTGAAAGACTTTTGTGAAAATTTCAGCTATTTTGGATGCTCAGTTATTGTTTGACAATCATTTATGTCAGTCGATGTCAGTGTTTTTGTAAAAATGGAAAAAATTAAATATCGTGCTGTGAATAAATTCTTACATTTGAAAGGCAATACGCCTGCGCAAATTAAAATCAAGTTGAACACTGTTTATGGGGACTCTGCCCCATCATTTGTCACCGTAAAAAGATGGGCAGCTGAATTTAAACGTGATCGTACCAGCTTGGCTGATGATGAGCGTTCGGGACGGTCAAAAACTGCGACTACCGCTGATAACATCGAAAATGTTCACCAAATGGTACTGAACGACGAATCAAGGTTAGAGAGATAGCAGAGGCTGGGCATCTCGAAAGAATGCGTTTGTCATATATTGACTGAAGAATTGGATATGCGCAAGCTATCCGCGCGTTGGGTGCCGCGCTTGCTCACTTTGGACCAAAAACGAATTCGAATGAACATTTCCAAGGCCCTGTTGGAACGATTCAAGCGAGTCAGATTTTTTGTGTCGATTCATAACTGTAGATGAAACTTGGATCCACCACTACACTCCAGAGACAAAAGAACAGTCAAAACAGTGGACTGCAAAGAGAGTGAACCTGCTCCGAAAAAGATGAAAACGGTTCCATCAGCTGGGAAGATAATGGCGACTGTTTTTTGAGATAGTGACGGAATTGTGTGTATTGACTATCTTGAAAAAAGTAAAACAATAACGGGAGCGTATTACGCATCATTACTTGATAAGCTGAAGGCAGAAATTGCAAAAAAAATGGCCGCATTTGAAGAAGAAGAAAGTGCTGTTCCATCAAGACAACGCACCTGCTCACACTTCGACGGTCGCCAATGATCAAAATTCACGAACTGCACTTCGAATTGGTTGACCACCCACCGTATTCACCAGATCTGGCCTCCAGCGACTTTGTCCTATTTCCTAAGCTTAAAGTTTCGCTTGGAGGACAAAGATTTTCATCTAACGAGGAGGTCATCACATACATAAACGCCTATTTTGCGGAGCAAGACGCCAACTACTATTTGGAGGGGTTAAAGAGGTTAGAGTATCGATGGGAAAAGTGTATCGACTTAAAAGCAGATTATGTTGAAAAATAAAATTATATTTGACCGAAAAAATACTTGTTTCTATGTTAGGCTCAAAACTTTTCAGACTACCCTCGTATATTTGTACGTATGTATATACATGTATATACGTATGTATATAT